TATAGAAAAAATTAGCCAGCATGGTGGTGCATGCCTGTAGTCCCAGCTACTCGGAGGCTGAGGGAGAAGGATTACTTGAGCCCAGGAGTTTGAGGTTGCTGTGAGCTAGGCTGATGCCACCACACTCTAGCTAGGGCAACAGACTGAGACTGTCTCAAAAAAAAAAAAAAAAAAAAAAGCTAGTGAAGAAGACTGAGGCAATCAGAATTATCTATTGATATTGATATACTTATGAGCCCTTCTTCATCCCTTTATGAGACAGAGAAAGGGGAATATATCTTGTCTGCCATGTACTGACTGATATTCCCCCTAAATAACTCTGATTTGTTGATGTTTCTTATCTTTAGAAATTCAAGGTATACTTTGTGCTGGATATTCCATAATTTTTTAACACTCTATAATGGAAGGTATCCCTTTGCCAACATCTACTGAAAAGACTGCCCTAATTCAATCATGTACTTAACCAGAGGGATACATTCTAAGAAATGAATCATTAGACAATTTCATCATGTGAACATAATAGAGTGTACTTACATAAACCTAGATGGCATAGCTAACCTACTACACATTTTCTAGGTTACAAAGCTGTATAGCATGTTACTATACTGAATACTGTAGGCAATTATAACCCAGTGGTAAGTATTTATGTATCTAAACATATGTAAACATAGAAAGGGTACAGTAAAAATATGATATTATAACCTTATGGAACCACCTTCATATATGTGGTTCATTGTTGACAAAAATGTCATTTATGCAGTACGTGACTGTAGGTCTAATTTGAGCATGACACCTTGCTAACATCTCTACTGAGAGTACATATAATTTCAGATTGCTCATGATTTTAGAATGCTATTATATGGAAACACAGGTATTTGGGGACACCTCAAAAAAACATGGAAAAGCATTGATGATTTGTTAGAGGAAAAGCAACATTGGGCTTTGGTGTTCCCAAGACAGCCATTTGGTGACACCTAAGTTATTCTCCAGAACCTTGATGCTTATATTAGAGTAAAGTACCCATAGTGTGGCAAGAACAAATTAGCCTAAATTTTTCAAAATTATTGTTAGAACATTTTACTCAGGAAGCACTATGGGTGGCAGAATTTTTTCTTGTCTGTATTTATCATAACCCTTAAAAAACTAAAGCTATGGTAAGGCTTCCATTTTTCCTCAAGGACCATTTGTACATTTACAAATGGATTTCATTCAGTTGTCCAAATTTTTAAAAAATTAAACATGCCTCTGCCGGGCGTAGTGGCTCACGCCTGTAATCCTAGCACTCTGGGAGGCCGAGGCGGGCGGATTGCTCAAGGTCAGGAGTTCGAAACCAGCCTGAGCAAGAGCGAGACCCCGTCTCTACTATAAATAGGAAGAAATTAATTGGCCAAGTAATACATATAGAAAAAATTAGCCGGGCATGGTGGCACATGCCTGTAGTCCCAGCTACTCGGGAGGCTGAGGCAGGAGGATCGCTTGAGCCCAGGAGTTTGAGGTTGCTGTGAGCTAGGCTGATGCCGTGGCACTCACTCTAGCCAGGGCAATAGAGTGAGACTCTGTCTCAAAAAAAAAAAAAAAAAAAATTAAACATGCCTCAATAATATTTTCAAAAATAAAACTGTATAATTTTTGGTTAGATTGAAGCTTTCTCTTCCAAAATATTAATACTTTAATTTAGTGTTGTCAAATAAAACTTATACAATGGTGGTAATGTTCTATACCTGTGCTGTCCAAGTGATAGTTTTTAAAAGCCACATGTGGCTACTGAGCATTTGAAATGTGACTAGTATAACAGCCTGTTACCAAATATGATACACACACACACACACACACACACACACACGTGTTTATATGTATTTAAGCTTACAGGTTATATCTTTAGCACTCTTTTTTTTTTTTTTTTTTTTTGACACAGCTAATTGGACTGAATCTTTAGCACTCTTAATGGACAGAGAAATCCACTTTAGTGGTGAAATTCTTTTTTTTTTTTTTTTTTTTTTTTTTTTTTGAGTTACAGTCTCACTCTGTCACCCTGGTTCGAGTGCAGTGGCATCATCATAACTCACTGCAACCTCAAACTACTGTAGCTGGGACTACAGGCGCACACCACCACACCTAGCTAATTTTCCTATTTTTAGTGGAGACAAGGTCTTGCTCTTGCTCAGGCTGGTCTCCAGCTCCTGAGCTCAAGCAATCCTCCCACCTCGGCTTCCCAGAGTGCTTACAGGTGTGAGCCACCGAGCCTGGCCTAGTGGAGAAATTCTTAAAATTCACCCATTAAAACATATACTTTATTGTCCTTCTTATTCTCAAAATTCTGAGAAAGTAGTACAAATTTATGTTTTTTTAAAAATCAACATTTTCAAAATTTTAGAAGAGCTTTCTTTAGACTAAAATTCGGTCAGTACTAAAATAATATAATCTATAGCACAAAAATCCCCATAAACTCTTACATAACACTGCTACAAAAATCTATAAAGTTTATATTGGTTCTTCCTCTGACAGATTCTACCTTGTTACATTCTAATTTTTCAGATATTGTCAAATTTTACTGTCAGGTATAGAGTTCTATGTCCAATAAGTATAAGTTTCATTTCCAAAAGAGACAACTCTGAGTCAGAAAACTGGGTATTTTGGAAAAGACACCACGGAAGGTTAACCTTAGAATTACATTGGAAAGGACCATTTCCAGTGTTGTTACACACAAATATGCCCTTACACTTTGGGGCATACACCCAGTGTCACACTTAACTCTGGACAACAGGTGCCTATGCTCTGAGTCCTTTCCTAGCCATGCATCTTCCCATGGGCATGGAGTCCATACTCTATTTACCTGGGCTGCCAAAACTCCCTACCAAAACGGCCCTGATCTCTTTCCAAGGCCTGCAAAGTCCTCTTTCCTGATCCATCTTTCCAAGGGTAGACCATGCGATTAGTGTTGTGCCCCTAGGCCTTGTGACTCAGGAGTGGCTCTTTTCCAAGGGTGTGTATGAAGCTTGGATGTGTGTTGTGGTCACACATGAGTGTGTGATGTGAGGCCCTTCAAAATGTGAGATGAAGTCAGGAATGGGAAGACAGAGGGTTAGTTAGGGATGTGTATTTTTATTTTCTTTCCCCTCCTTAGCTTATTTTTTAAAACGAAGTGCTACTTCAAGTCAGCCAGATATAAGTGTTGAATTTATTTAACACAATAAAGAACTTCTAGCTAGATCCAAAGCTTATATTATACTTAAACAGTTACCCTAATGAAAGTCAGGAACAATGAGTCAAAGAAATGCATATAAATTATTAAAACAGAGGGAGGAGACAGAAAACAGATGGGGAAAAGAAAGACGAAGGCGGTTGCTATGGGAAGAGAGTGGTGGGGGAATCCGTGGGAAAGTTTTCCTCTCCTCTGGTCTGTCCCTGGACCCAGGAACAACTGAGAAAAAGAAGGAATCTAAAGAAAATTTCCTGTGGTTTCGCATTTTTTCTTCCTTTCTGTGTTTCTTACTCTTCAATTATACTGAGAAATGTAACCAGTGTGATTAGGCGTGTTAATTTGGTGCTTTGCTTATTTTTCAGGTTCTGGAATTCTGAGTGAGTCTGTGCATCCCCCCCCCCCCCCGCACCCTCCTCCCCCCCCTTTCATCTTGTGGTTCACCAGTAGATGTAACCACCCAGGGACGTGTCAAGACCCTAGAGCAGATATGCGTTGATATTAAAGAGCAAAAGACAGCCGGTTTGTTTTCTTTGGTTTCTGTGTGAATTAGAAGAGCTGATGCAGAACGAAAATGCCAAAAAGAGGCAAGCTGGCCCGCCTGAAGAAAGGGAAAGGAAAAACTGGAGGTGCCGGGGATTGAACCCGGGGCCTCGTGCATGCTAAGCACGCGCTCTACCACTGAGCTACACCCCCCTCTGCCAAAATGGGGTTGAAACACTTCTATGGCCTGTTACTATTATTTTCGCCAGTAACAGGCGCTATCTTTTTGAATTCCCCATACTGAAGACTGTCTCGCGGTTATGCTGGGAGAAGGAAAACTGAATATTATACAGAATGTCCCCGTTCTGTCCTGGGGTCTCTTGCTGCTGGTCACCCTCTCGGACGCCCGCTCGACTGCTACCTGCCGGGCAGAGAAGGGAGCAGTTTGCCTGGACCGACGCTTCGGTGAAAAGTCTGGGATGGGGTGCGCTCTGCTTTAAAAGGTGGCCAGAAAAATGCAAATATAATGCAGGAAGCTAAAAGCAAAAAAGCCCTAAACACTGCTGTGGGGATTTAGGTCCAGGTGGGAAAGAAGACAGGAGGTGAACTTCAGGTCGGCTCCCGCAGCCGCAGTCACGGCTCCCGCAGGTTCCCGGCTGCGTTCCGCGGGCTCTGAGGCGGGAGTCCTGAGAACCACCGAGACGCGCAGTGAGGAGCGAGAAAGAGAGGAGCGAGAAAAACGCACCAGCATTTATGGAGCCCCCTTCTGGGCGGAATTTGCCACTGAATAAAAAGTACGCAGGAGAAAAGCATTTTAACCCGTAGGCTTCATCCTCAAAACCAATTAAAAGGAGTATAAACCCTCCATGCTTTGTAAAGGACCTCAAAGAGTTAAATTCAGCCTGCCCTTCAGCTAAAACAGTGAAGCTGTTCCCTGTGGCAATGGAAAAATCATTAGTTAACCTCTGACTGATTGTTGTAATCGTTTCAATCTGTAATGTATTGTGTAGTTAAAATTTTACCATGATTGCTGAATCTGCAAAATAATGTATTTCGGTTGGGCGATGGGCTAACGCTTTCTGCTTCTGTAAACTGCTTGCTCAAAGATTGTTATCCGAACAGGTGGTCCGAGGAGGGTCCCAGACCCTGCAACTGTGGAAAACATGATGTAATGCTGTTCCAACCCTTGTGACTAAAGTCACCTAGCCCCTAACTTGGGTCGGTATAAAACCTCCCTGCTCTTTCAGTTCAGGACTGCTCTTTGTGCCTGCTTCTTTCCAGGGCAGGAGTAGTTGCTGGCCAGCTAATAAAGACTCACAAGTTGGCTCAATTCGGTCTTTAGGTGGTCTTTCTCGCGTTCCGCATCATAACAGCTTGTGGAGAGTTCTTGGGTATAACCGGCAGGCACTTTCTGCTATTCGCCAAAGCTTGGTATGACAGTCAACACAGAAATTCGGTTATGGAGCAAATCCTAAATCCTTCTCTAAGTTTTCTTCTGATTCTCTCTCACGCTTAAGGGACTCGGATGTTCTTGAAAACCTGAAAATACCATCTTCCCTATGATTCCTTCTCAGCTCCAGTTCTGGCCCTCCAGACCAGTCAAAACCCAGCTGGCCGGAGCAGCTACGGGCTGACAGGCATGGCGAATGGCAGGCTGTAAATGTACAATGCATGGGCCACAGGCGAATCTCAGACCCAAAGATTAAAGGGACATAGGCGTCCTTTGGGTTCAGTCGCACAACCTCAAAGTATGGCACCTTGGCATTTGAGAAAAGAGCAGAAGCAGAAAGATCTCTCTGACCTTCTCTGGTCCCCTTCTTTCCAGCAGCAGGCAATAAAAGCTAGCTGATCTTCCCCCTAAAGTAGATCATAAGACCTTCATTTCAGAGAGGGGTCTTCCCTATGCCTGGAGGAAAGGAATGAAGATCCAGATGCCGAGAAGAATCTGAACAAAACCGGCTTTACTAAGTTTCTCCCAGTTTATTACCGTTAGATCATGCTCTCTTTTGTGCAATTATAATTCTACAGTACTATCCATTTTATCGAATTTAAGAATAAAAATACAGTAAGTCCTCAATGTTACTGATTGGGTCTTGAAAACTACGACTTTAAGCGAAATGACTTATAATGAAACCAATTTTACCATCTACTAATTGATATAAACAAGAGTTAAGGAGTTCCTATGGCATATTGTGGTCACACACACACAAAAACTACCAAATTTCTAAATAAAGACTCCAAACGCTTTAAAAACAAAACAAAAAAGAAAACAAGGTCTCACTCTTTCACCCATGCAGTGGCATTGTCATAGCTCACGGAGCCTTGAACTCAAGCTCAAGTGATCCTCCTGTTTCAGCCTCCTGGGTAGCTGGGACTACAGGGGTGCACCGAGCCCTCGCGAATTTTTCTATTTTTTATAGAGACCAGGTCTCGCTATATTGCCCAGGCTGGTCTCCAACTCCTGGCCTCAAACGATCCTCCCAAAGTGCTGGGATTACAGGCTCCAAACATGTCTAATATTAAATATTAAAATTAAATTAAATAAATGTGAGCTACACATACATTTAAGAAAATTAATAAAAACAAGTTTGATAATTATTATACTTACCCATTTTTTGGGTGAATCAGTGAGTGAATGCAGTGGTAGTGGCAGTGGATTAGATGAAGGAATAAATGTAAAGCAAAACTTTTTTAAGAGCACCTCCTACTACCACACAGTTCAAAAACAAACAGGAACAAATATGGTGGTCTTGCCGAGCACTTTAGAATCACATTGTTTATTGTGCATTTATATGATTATTCGTATCATGCACACATGAAATTCTCATACTTCACGAATTTTTTTTTTTTGCAATAACTTGTATTCATTCATTCATTTTCCTGCTTATTTCAGTTCAGAATAGTATGTGGCTGGTGCCTCACTCGGCTTCTCAGAGCGCCTTGCGGGAACCCACCCTGAACAGGAGACCTTTCCACCGCAGGGTGCACACACACACACACACACACACACACACACACTCACACTCTCTCTCTCTCTCTCTCTCTCATTCACTCAGACTGAGACAATTTAGACATGTTAATGAACCTAACGTGCACATCTTTGGGATGTGGGAGGAAACCACAGTACCCTGCAGAAAATTCACACAGACTGGGGAGTGTCTGTCAACTCCACAGGGACACCGCTCTGCGGAAAATCGATTTTTTCGTATCAACGTAACCACTTTGAATGAAACCACAGTTATTGAAGTGTCGCGCCCCCTCGACCAGCAAGGAAGACGCGGCAACCGGAGTTCTTCTGACCGTGCTTTAATGGGGCTCCCTTTAGGCTTACATGATAGGGAAGACGCCCAGGCGTTCTCAGCGGCTGCTTATAAAGGCAGTAAGTACACTGGGCATTGTCTGATTGGATAAGGCACTTGGAAGGGAGGAGACAAACTCTGCACATGCGCTGAGCAATTGTTTGTCAGACTAACAACAGGGTTTGACCAAGAAGCGGGCGCCATCTTGGAATGGCGTTGCCACCGCGCCCCACATTCAAGGACCTGCTGTACAAAGATATTCCTATTTATTTGGATCTTCATTTCTGAAGGTTCCTGTGTCACCTAAAACTTCTATTTAATAAATGCGTATGCTTTTCCCTTGTTAATCTATCTTTTGTTACAAGGTCTCAGCCATGAACCTAGCACTGGGTAAGGAAGGATATTTTTTTTCTCCCTTACTCCTTCCTTTAAGTGCTTTTTGGATGACACCACAGGAATCTCCAAAGGTGTAAAATTATCTGAGGGAGCTCCATAAAAACACAAATTTCCAGGCCTTACTCATGAGAGTGAGATGCTGAATGCTTTCAGAATCTCTGGAAGGGGGCCTGGAAATCTTGTTATTTAAATCTTTCCTTGTTGCATTTGATAATCAGGCAAGTTTGGGAAGCACTGGGCTTGAAAATCTAGTGACAATAGAAGATGAAGCAAGGATCCTGGAGAAAGTTAACACAGGGAGAGGAAAAAGACTGGAAGGGAAGAGGGGACCCCAGAGCAGAAGACAGAAGAAGAGATGGGAGGAAATGTACTGCAAGGTGGGGCCTTAAAGGTGAATGCTCAGATCTGGACATGTTTAAGATCCCCAATGCTCCTATGCTTCCTCCAGGTACTAGAGAAGACAGAAGGCCCTTTGCTCTAAGATGAGGGAGCAGAAGGTGTCCATCCTTCCTGTTCAGTCATTTGCGAAGTTTGGGTGCATCAGAATCATCTGAAGGGCCTGTCGAAACATATATTGGAAACATCTTCCTCCAAATTTCTTTTCTTTTTTCTGTTTTTTGAGACAGAGTCTCGCTTTGTTGCCCAGGCTAGAGTGAGTGCCGAGGCGTCAACCTAGCTCACAGCAACCTCAAACTCCTGGGCTCAAGCAATCCTGCTACCTCAGCCTCCCAAGTAGCTGGGACTACAGGCATGTGCCATTATGCCCAGCTAATTTTTTCTATATATATATTAGTTGGCCAATTAATTTCTTTCTATTTATAGTAGAGACGGGGTCTCGCTCTTGCTCAGGCTGGTTTTGAACTCCTACTCGAGCAATCTGCCCGCCTCAGCCGTCCCAGAGTGCTAGGCTCTACAGGCGTGAGTCACCACAGCCCAGCCCAATTTACATAGTTGGTCTGAGAGGGCCCAAGAAGTTTTCAGTTCTCCTAATAGTTTCCCAGATATGCTGACTGAGATCCTAGGATCAAACTTCAGAACTCTGAGCAAAACCCCAGCTGTTTTGCCCGACACTCTTGTGGACTTTAAGAGTGGTCTCACTGCTCCTAGTTCCTGGATCGGGTGCCATCTCCTAAAGCACATGTTTGAAGTTCTCTTTGGTCACAGAGTAGCCGCTTCGCCATTCGAAACTACCCCGAATAACCGGCGAAGGCAACCTAATGTGTGCTCAGGAAGCAGTTGCCTGGGTGTCCAAGTTGGGAGGTGGCCTTCTTAGGCTTGATCGGCCCCAGCTGCAGGGGAAACGGTACACTTAGCTTGCCTCGCCTGTTCTGCCTGCTTATTTTCAGCACCATCTAGTTGGGAATCCAAGGCAAAAAGTCAGAAAAGACGAGACTGTAGGACAAATGCCACCATATCTACCAAGATTATCAGCAAAACAAGGAAGTTCTGAGTTTGGGCCATCTAAGCACCTTTTACCTGCCGAGGATCCCAGGTTTCAACTTGGTCCATGTGCACCCAAATATCCTGTCTTTTTTCTCCAGGTAGAATCAAACCTGGCTTGCTCCTGGGGGAGTGCTCCTTCTACAGCATTTGCAGCTGGCTCTTCGTGCTGCTCACATACTGTCTTCTGGCTCAGAAAGACAGGCTCTCGCAGAGCAGAACTGTGAGAACGGCTATGGTCTCTAGCAGACGAGCAATTAGAGAGCGAATGGTTCAATCATTTTGTCAGTCATCGACAACCTGTTTCACTGTCTGAACTCTGAAGGAAGGCATAATGGATGTTCCCTAGCAATCAGTGGTGAAATGCTTAAGGCTGTATACCTAGCAACCAGGTTTTAGGAAAAAAGAAGAACCTGTCAGCACTCGGAAAAGGAAGGTGGATGCCGCAGGATTTAGAGACTCTGATGCGACTTCTGCAGACAAAACGATGGTGGACGTGTCTTCTAGGAAATAAATACACACACAGAGAGAGAGAGAGAAGAGAGAGAGCCTATTGCAATGATGTGAAATGTTGTTGCCTGCACCAAGCTAGTAAGATAGAGAGAAAGAGCAGCGATTTATGCTATTTTGTGTGTTATTTATTCTGCCAGGAAGTGGGGATGGTACTGCAGAAAGGAGACAAAGACTAAGTTTGGTGTGACAAATCTTAAATATTTATGAGACAGCTCTCATGGAAATGCTGAATAAACATTACTGAATCCATGATTTACGAATCTACAGAGAATTCAAATCCATAGACTTTTGATTTTTATGCTGGCTCTATAGGAAAGGTGTCCATGAAAAACCTGGGTACCAACTGAAAACATAACTTTGAGACTTTGGGGATGGGACACTTATTAACTGAAATCATGGAACACTGTGAACGATTTCTTTGCTTGATCCACACACTTCAAGTCAGCTCTCTGAATCTTCTCCCTCCGCACCCATCTGTTACTTCTTTTGTAAACTCGTTTTACGAAAGAACTCTGCCTAAGTCAGTTTAACAAGGAACCTCCTC